AGTGTCCTGCATTTGTCCCGCATTTTATTCGTTATTTTAAAATTATCGACAATGGATGGATTTTTTTAAAAAAGTGTTTTTTGGTACTTTTCGTAGCTTTTCTTCAATATCTCATGAAAAAATCTCCAAATTAACGTAAGCGACTTACAACTCGAAGGGTGAGATTTTCAATCAAATACGCAGTTTCATTTGATTATTTTTTTCATTATTTAAAAAATTCGATAAAGAAGATATATCATTACAGTAAACTTTGAGCCAAAGATAATGAAAATCGGATTAGAAATGTAGATGCTATGGAGCGCAATCTGCACAAATTATATATTTTTGTAAAGGGCACTTTGTAACTCGTCGTTTACGTCGATTCATGACGTCGATTTTTGACAAATAACTGCGAAAAGTACCAAAAAACAAAAAAAAAGAAGGGTATTGTTTTCGTTTTGAACTACTCAAAATTTGCCTATAAAATAATCTTTTAAAGATTTCCACTTTTTGTGTAAGCTATTGTAATTATAATATGTTTTACTATACTTTTATAAATATTCATGTAAAAAAAGATTAATATCAATGAAGAAAACGTGATTCATTTTTAAAGTTTAAAATGTATTAAGAATTTAGAATCATAAATACTCTTTTGATATTTTTATACTACGTAAATATATGTAGGCATATTTTTGAAAAATTGTCCTTCATTTTGAATCCATATTTATGGTCACCGTATATATACCTTATTATAAGCATGTGACTTATGGTTTCGAGGTTATAGCTGATAAAAAATTCCACGCCTACGGGATGTGCCACACCCCCTTTTACAAACTCATTCATATACACCTTAATATAAGCGCCTACCATAGCTGTGCCTGCATACCAAATTTCAAGTTCGTGGGGTTTATGATTCCCTAGTTATAGCTGATAAAATATTCCACGCCTACGGGATGTGCCACGCCCCCTTTTATAAACTTATTCATATACAGCTTACTATAAGCACCTACCGTAGCTATGCCTGCATACCAAATTTCAAGTTTATGTGACTTATGGTTCCGAAGTTATAGCTGATAAAAAATTTCACGCCCTCTTATCGAATCCCAATTTTTTCTCCCTATTATAGGCCCAGGTGTCATGACAATACTCTGTCAAAAACCTGGTACATGCATACATACTTCCTCAAATATATAGTAGATATCTATCCTTCTCTTAGCGTAAAATAGTTTTTGGGGATATCTCGGCCCCGGGGCCACCTATCGTGTAAGTTTAAAGTCCAAATATTAGGGGAATTCACTCTTTTCTGTATTCGTTGTATGTTGTGTAATTGTAACTGCATGAGCGTGTGATTTGTTGTTGCTAGCGGTAAATCAAATACACATGCAACAACAACCACACACTCAACCAGTTACACTTACGCAGGATACAGCGAATACACAGAAGCGCGAATTCCACTATTTATTATGTTTGCTGGGTTGGAGCTGCTTCGGCCGATAGAGTTAAAAAAGCGACAAATTAAATTTTCCTTTTACCCTCCTACGCGTTTCAACGCTCTCGCGTCTTCATCAGGGAGTCTTTATTCGAAAAATAAAAACAAAAACAAATAAACAATAAAACATGATAAGCAAGTAAAATTCGCTGATGCAAAAACAATAAACATAGTTAACGACAATTACTTTACACTAATTCTGACTTTGAACTCACATTTACATAAATATTATTGGCAAAAATTGTTTAACAAACGATCAACGTTAGCACCATTTTAAGTATCTTTTCAACAATACCAAATTCGAATCCTATGTTCTTATTTATATTTGTTATTGATTACAGCTGCATATACGTTGTTGGTGTTATCTACGTCCTCTTTAAAGTTGATCGCATTCTCAAGTCTTTGTTGTATACGTAGGCTTTCTAATGTCATTCTCCTTTTTACCCCTCTTTCGATGTCCAAAATTCTCGTATTCCCGAAGTCCGCAAAGTGTTCGTGCTTCGTCAAGTGTTGTGCCAGTGCTGTTGTCATCTTTTTGTTTCTCTCATCCGCTTTATGTTCGCTTATTCTTGTACCCAATGATCTTTTTGTTGTGCCTACGTAGCA